ATATCTTATGGGGAGAAGTTGTTGAGTTACAGCATATGTGTTCAACATGTGTCCAACCAGGAAGCTGAAAAAAACAGATCCCTTTGAGAAGTGGATTTGAGATAAGCAAAGTGTGAGCCATCTGAAGGTGTTTGGTTCTATTTGTTATAAACATGTTCTAGAGGAAGTTGGATGATAGAAGCAAAGTAATGTAACTGATTGGGTACCACAATATAGGTGCTTATAAGCTTTATTGTCCAGTCACTAACAAAGTTGAATTCAACAGAGATGTTATTGTGAAGGGAACAAAAACATGGGATTTGAACAAGTCCCAATTCAACTCTGGCGCAGTGTTAACACCTGAGTTAACTTTTGGAGATATTTCAGACTCTGAAGGAGAATTTGCCTCTGAAGGGGATTTTGCCTCTAAAGATGAGTCGGAGTCTGAAGGTGACTATGATGTTAAAGTTAAGTCTAAAGAAAACTCTGAAGGTGAATCTGATTCTGATCCAAATTTTAACGATGATTCAGACTCTGGTTATAATCATGCCTCTGAAGGTGGTTCAGCCTCTGAAGGTAGTCTAACATCTGATATTGTTCTATCATCTGAAGAAGATTTTGAACAAGCTCAGATTCCATAAAAAATCGTACAAATACTAAGAAGATTTGTAGAGTTTGACATGTTACAAGGTACTAAGATAGTCTCTAAAAGGGAAGTTATTCAGTGTGCCATGTTGGTAGACTTTAAACTAGTTAGTACTGAATGAGCTCTATAGAAGAAAGTGTGGCTGAAGGCCATGAAAGAAGAACTTGAGACAATATAAAGAAACAAGACTTGGAAGTTGATTGAGCTTCCAAAGAAAAAGAAAGTCGTCTGCGTGAGATGAGTTTACAAGTTAAAGTTGAAGCCAAATAGATCAATCAGCAAACATTCTTTTATAACTTGAAATCTGAAAAATTGATTCATTTTTCAAGCTTCAAGGATTCAAAAAACATAAGATGGAGTATGGTGTTTATGTTCAACATACATTTGATAGCAACAGAATTCTGATGTGTCTCTATGTTGATGACATATTGCTAACAGGGGGTTGTTCATATGAGATAGTCAAGTTTAAGAAGGTGCTGATGAATGAGTTTGAGAAGACTGATATAAGAGATATGGTATTATTGGTATATTTTTTAGGAATGGAAAATTTATACTCTAAAAAAAGTATAATTTTACATCAACTGAAGTATGAACTTTAACTTCTGAAGAGATTTGATCTAATAAATTGCATGTCTGCAATCACACCTGTTGAAACAAATCACAAGCTAGATTATGATGTTGATGGTAAAGATGTAGATGTTACAACTTTTAAGTAGTTGGTGGACTCATTGAGATATCTCTGTAACACCAGACCTTACATCTGTTATGCAGTTGGAATGATGAGTAGGTTTATGAACAAACCAAAATGGTCACATTGCCAAGTTGTTGTCAGAATACTGAGGTATATTAAAAAGACTCTGAGGTATGGAGTTTTGTTTCTTTCTGGTGCTAAATTTGATTCATAGTTGATATGTTGTTCAAACTTTGATTGATGTAGAGACAAAGTTTACAGAAGAAGTACTTCTTGATATTTCTTTAAGTATCTAAGAGGTCCCATTTCTTGGTGCTCCAAGAAGCAACTAGTGGTTGCATTGTCAACCTGTGAAACTGAGTACATTACAGGTGCTTTATCTGCGTGTCAACCTGTTTTGATTATGAACTTATTGCATGATTTGAAGATCGAGATGAGCAAGCCTGTGAGTTTGATGATTGACAACAAATCAGCTATAAGCCTGTGAGGTTGATGATTTTCTACAAAATCAGGTTCAAAATGTATTGCTTGAAATTATTCACTATATCACTCAGAAGCAACTTGCAAATGTGCTGGCTAAAGCTATCAAGATTAAGCACTTCATCAATTTGAGGATGAAATTAGGGTTGTTGATTCTAATTAGTTGAATACAAATTAAGGGACAATGTTATATGCAGTTCATATTCAATTTCATTTGTTTTAAATTTGGTTTGCATTTAGCTTGAGCTTGTGTATATAAGCAAAAGCTTTATCTGTTAGTAATAGAATTTTTAATCACTTTCAGTTAGAGAAGTTAATTACAAACTTTTCTCTATTTTATTTTCTTCATCTTCAATCTTATGCTCCAACATTAACTATTGAATTGTATCGCTATAAATATATATAAATATATATAAATAAATATAATATATATATATATATATATATATATATATATATATATATATATATATATTATATTATATATATATATATATATATATATATATATATATATATATATATATAAATATAATATATATATATATATATATATATATATATATATATATATATATATATATATATATATATATATATATATATATATATATATATATATATATATATATATATATATATATATATATAATAGCTCATTTAATACATTTCTTTAATTAAATGAATCTGAAATATTGATGTTTTTTACGACATCATTAATTTATATTTATGTAATAAAGTCAACAACTTAAAAAAAATATTAATATATATAATTTTTCTATTTTCTTAAAATTTTATCGTAATTAATTATAGTTTTTTATTGAATTTAAAGGCCGTGTATCATCTATATACATGTAATAGGTCAATATGGCAGTTAGGGACCATTTATTTTCTTAGCGCGTGTATTGATGGTCATGGATGTGTCCTCACTCCTTTCACAAAATTGGGTGTCCTTTAGGGCCCAACCCAATTGACCAAATTGGAATATATAAATACTACTAATATTTCGATTTCCTTCAATGTGGGACTAAAATGAATCTTTTCAAATTCACTTCTATATTAGTTGTTACTTGTGTTCATTTATTGTCCATTAATTGTCCATAAATCTTTTCAATTCCCACTCTAATTAATATAATTCTAACATAAGTTTTCTTTTCATAATAAAGCAACATCAATACTTGCAATAGAGTCGTTATCAAAACCTCTCACCCGACAGAAGGCACCTTCAAGATCATGTGGAAGAGTGAGTGCCCACATATCTACCTCTAAATTACATGGCTGGAAGTTTGCACATAGTTTAAATGAATTTTCCTTCCAGATTTTCAAAATGAAGTATACTTTGACCAAGAAGTTGCAATAAATGTTAAAATCGATTTTAACGATCATAGAGAACAAAAATTTTCAAACCTACTATATCTTATCGATACTCTTGTGGGCTTTAAATGCACAAAGAAAAAAAAGTCAAATACCTATTATTATATACTTCCCCCTGCCCCTAATTCGTTCAACCACTTATATATCTCACATATAAACAAGATACAATTAAAAAAAAAGTTGATTTTTTGTTTTGTTTTTACACTCACTATAGTTCCTTAAAAAAAGTTGATTTTTGGTTTTCTTTTCACACTCACTCTAAAAGGTTATAAAAGAAATGAGATCCTAGTAATCAAGACTTCAGTCTAAAAGGTTATAGACCTAAAAATCGAACTCGATATTCTAAACACCTTTGATCTTTAAGACCAACTCCAATGGGTGTCAACATGACACTCATATATGTTGTTTTCAAGATTGTCATGCTGTTCAACTGTTCTTAATAATATAACAGTTTTTCAACGGTTCTTATATTAAAATATTGATTTTATAATATAAAAACTATAATTTAATATAAAATTTTATTTATCATTTTAATTATTGTATGAAAACTATAATTATAATATTAAAATATTGATTTTATAATATGAAAACTATAATTATAATATTAAAATATTGATTTTATAGTATAAAAATTATATTTTAATTATAAGTTTAATTTAAATTTTATTTATTTTATTTTTATTTATTTTAAATTATAATTTTAATTTTAATTTTTTTTTAATTTTATATCAAATTTAATTTAAAACAAAACTAACTAAGGAGAGATTGAAATTTTTTTAAAGTTTAATCTAATTTTTTTAAAGTTTATATAGTAGAATGAAATATTTTTCCTTAAAATAACACTATATCCGTTGGGCTATATAGTAGACTGAAATAATTTTCTGTAAAAAATTAAAATTATTATTTTAAGTGATATAAAATTTAATATGAATAAAATATCAATATATAAAATAAAGTTGTGGAACCCAATATGAGTTCTTCAGAGTTGCACCATTGGAGTGAAAAATTAGTTGAGTTGCTTTAAGCTGACGTGACTTAATAGATCCCACAAATAAATAAAAAATGAGTTCCCAGTTAAAAATGCTCTAAGAGCATAAATATCAATGTCATGTCATCGTTCCTTCACAAAAACCAAAATTTTTTTTTGTAAGAAATTGATGGATGTTTGAAAATTTTAACTGTCCTTTAATTTGCCAACGTACGTTTCTCATTACTTCTTAACCATTAAAGTTGAATTAAAAATTATATATAATTAAATGTAAGGTATTTGGTGGGACCCATTTTAGAATTTTTGATGGATTGTATGAATATTTAAAAAATATAGTTGAGTTGTTTAAAAAATATTAAAGTAAAATATAATATAAAAAATTACATAGATCTCATCTAAAAAATCAAAATGAGAATCAAAATGAGAATAATGAGTGTGAATGTTCTAAGAGCTTTAACCATTAGAATCAGCTTTACAAAGCAATTTAGGAGAGTATAACTTACTTTATCACAATAACCAAGGTAATGTTTCAATATAATTATTTTTTGGAAATTTTCCAATTAGTATTCATAATTAAATAAATTACACTTTAAAATTGCAGTATTACCCCATAACAAATATGTTGGCAAAATATAGAAATCAACAAGATATAATGTCATATACAAGAAGCCATTGAGGAGCTTCGTAAATTCGACCCCAACACACATACGTGAATACATGCATACATAGATACATAATACATTCATACTTACATGTTTTCATACTAAAGGGTTTTTATGATATTACAAGCATTATTGCAATTTCACACTACTTCAAATCAAGTATTTTGTCAAATTCTTTCTTCATCTCATACTCATCACAGGCCTCAGAGTTATAGCAGGAGCTGGCAGAGATGGTCGAACCACGGGAACTCGTTTCACAACTGAAAATGCTTCGTTGAGACGGGCTACACGACCCATGAGCTGAGCTACCTTCTGCAAAAATTGTTATAAATGAACCTCAGAAACTTAATAATGTTATAAAGCTTCTAAAAGAATGCATCATACTAATATCAACAAAAGCAGTGCTCAACAGGTGAACTGGTCTCAAAATGACACTATAAAACGACGCGATGGGTTGTAATAATCACCAGACCATGAAATAAAGGTCAAAACTTACCGACCATACTCCCCTAATTTTACATGTCTTTTGTGATGCCTATTGAGCGTCAGACCCTGAAGACAGATGCTCTACTTCAGGGTCTTGCATATACCTTAAACCTAATATATTTTCGGTGGTCTAAAAAGCAGTAACAAGTTGCTCATTCAAGTGTTGAAACTGGGTATCATAGTCTAGCCATTCATTAGGTGAAATAATTTGGACTCAGTCTCTTACTACTGAATTATAGATTCACGTTTCAATTCCAATTAACAACTAAGACAGACGAAGTATTGTTTCCATATGTCAAAATCCTGTTCTTCATTCCCAGACAAAATGTGAAACAAGACATCATCACTATCATGAGAAGTTGCTGAATAAGTCCCTGATTGTGACTCGTATACCACCACATGAATGAACAGATTTTGCATATATAATGAGTCTCACTAGGCAACACTTCATTCACAGTTCATTCTATGTTTCAATACTATAGTAGTTTTGTTATGCAACTATAAAAGATGTGTTTTATCATTTATGCTATACTATCATGTATGTGTATATTACAAACCACAACATAAGGGTTAATTCTTCGTTATAGGAGTTTTAATTACAAGTCTTTTACCGGTATATAAGGGTTACTTTCTATTGTTTTTGAACCAAATCATAACCATCAATCACCTCAAACCATATTCAAAGTCAAAGTCATATCCTTATTAAGTAAACAGCTTTATCAAGCAATCATCCAATAAGCTTCTATGAAGCTTACCCAAATAAGCTAAAAATACCTTACATATCATATAAGTGTACAATGAGATAAAACCAAATAAACTCTTCCAAATATCCATTAATATTGAAAAGCTATAAAAACTATGTAATGTAACATGTTTGCATTCGATCACTTTCACTTTCTCAAATTATTATTAGTCTCTATGTATTAACCATAAATTAACTATAATTAAGTAAACAACTTTAACAAGCAATCATCCAATAAGCTTCTAGGAAGCTTACCCAAATAAGCTAAAAATAGCTTACATATCTTATATTTCAAGTGTACATTGAGATAAAACCAAATAAACTCTTCCAAAAAGATCCATTAATATGGAAAAGCTATATAAACTACGTAATGTAACACAGCACTTCAAATTCAAGGTGTATTCAATTTTCGACCAACTTCCATTTTCTCAAATTGTTATTAGCATCTGTTTGGTTCTGCGCCGAAAATAATTGATTTAGAATGAATTGATTCTATAAATAAACATCACGTTTAAACTCAAGGTATAAATTCTGACTTCAAGTAAAATGAATTGTGGAGACAGAATCAATTCTAATTTAGAAGAACCAAACACTTCAAAATCATTTCAAAATCAAATATATACCTCTAAAACTAGTTTTAACTCTTCCAAAAGTTAAACCAAACATACAATTAGTGTCAGAATTGTGTCTGGTGTCAGTGAAACATAGTATATATTATAAGTAACAAAAAATCAAAAGTATTTAACAACAAAAAGATTGACCTTATCATCAAGAGCAAGATTGAGCTTCAAAGTCTGAGTCTTCCTCTTCATTTTGTAAAGCCTCCTTCCCAATATCAAAAGCCCTAAAAACGCAGCAGCAGCAGCAACAGACAAAGGAAGAGGAATCAAAAGAGGACTCACCCAGTGTTTCAACACTTCAAAAGGAACCTTCCACCACACCAATCTCTCATTATCCCCTTTCACCTCTTTCTCTTCCTCTTCTACCTCCTCCGCTTTTTCCTCAGAACCAAAACCAACCTCACCATCACCGGTCAAACTGGCCGTAACCGTAGCATCGCTATCGGAATTAACTGAATTAACGGACTTATCAGAAATATCGGAATTATCGGAATCGGAATCATTCCACCGGAGGAGATTATTATTGGAGGAAGATGATAAAATCTGATTTGCGACGTAGGAATCATCGAAGTTTCGATCGATTTCGGAATTGGAACTGCAACTACTGGTAACCGAATTAGGGTTTTGATGAATCGAGAAATGATCGGATCTGATGATTGATGAAGAATTGGGATTGAAATCGGTGATTGCGGAAACGATTGGTGAATCATCGTTGTTGATTAGTTCCCATTCGGTAGATTCAAGTTCTTGTTCGGGTATTCCATCCATGGCGAATTAAGTGAAGAGAGAATTGGATATTATTACTAGAAATAGAATCGTAATAAGAAGTGGTAATTATTAACCGTAGAAGAAAGGTTAAGGATATCTTGTTAAAGTGCCACTAAAGATGCCCTTCAAATAGGGACACTTGCTATCCATTTGATGTTCTTTGGAAATAATACTCATCACTTTCTTTCTTACATACACACTTCATTTCACTATTATAATTAGGGCGGTTTATGGTTAGGGAAATTTGATATAAACAGCCTTGTTTTAATTATGGGTAATACTAACCTGTGCGCAAATTAAGAACTAAATTATAAAATACTATTTTGAAAATTATATACAAATTTTAATTAAAATATAAAATTAATTTTTAAATTGTTTTTTTTGGTATTATAAGTAATTCTTTTAACATGTGCCTTAAGCACACAAGTTAACATTACCCTTAATTTGTATAATACCGACTCTAATTGAAATTATTGGTTTAGTATATCATTTTAAAATTTTGAACCATATTTAAAATCGAATCATGAAATTGTTAAAATTTGTTTTTAGTATTTTTTATTTTAGTTTTGATATTCGGTTACAATTTTGATTTGATTGATTTCAATTATGATTTGATTTTAAAATTATTTGTGTAATATGATTTGGTTCATTAATCAAATGTAACAATTTGATTATTGTAACGGTAATTCGGTTCAATTTGACAATTCAGTTTAATTTATAATTTTTTTAAGAGTTTAATTGTAACTTTTCATATAATTTATAACTATAGATAAAAGAGATATACAATTTTGGTCCGACACATGTTTTTTATTCCATAATTACCCTTCTTTTATTTTATATTTTACAACACAAGATATCAATTTAATTTAAGTTGTTGTAAATTATTAATAACTAATAATCGTAAATGTGTTCCAAAATAATAAAAACTTATATAACTAATGATTAATTTTTTAATTCAGAAATAGACAACACTTATAAAGTGTTGTAGTAGGCAGTTTGTATTTTAAATTCGGAAATAGATAACACTTTGTGAAGTGTTATAGGATTCAAAACAATACAACTTTTGAAAACTGTTGTTGTATGTAAAACAATGCAACATTTGGTAAACGTGTTGCTATAAGCGAAACAAGTAAAATTTGGTAAAAGTGTTATTGTAGAGAAAACAATGTAAAATTTGGTAAAAATGAAACAGTGTAACATTTAGTAGAAGTGTGTTTCATCAAGGGTCACAACCTCATTTGGTAAAAGTGTTGTTCAAAGTGTGTTTCATCAAGGGTCACAGCCTTGTGAAACAACACTACTTTGAACTATAAATTAAACATTTCGGATTTAGAAAAAAATAACACAAAAATTTATCCTCTTCACACAAAATTGCAGATTTCATCTTCTTTACATTCGAGTTTTCATCGGTCTTACGCAAATTCGAGTATAGGCGGAATTATACTGGGTATTCCTACGTTCCAACTCTAAGACATTTAAGAGTGCTTGAAATACTTATCATGAAAGTGATATCGTTCACGAGTCGATCCATTCGATTTAAATAAATTTTCTAACAATCTTATAAGTATCTCATATAATGACAAATGAGACTTATGTTTCAAGCATCAAAGTGATGAATTAAGACAAGATTTTCTTCCTCCTAATTGTCATAAAGATCTTTTATTTGTGATTAATATTAAATGTTGCTACTTAAATTTTTTTGATGTCAATACTGTATGACAGTGAAAGGTAGGGGTGTACGCGGGTTGGGTTGGACCGGGTTCGCCTTAACCCGTTACCCAACCCCTTCAACTTTCAATGAGTTGGGTTTATCATCAAACCCGTAATTCTACTTTAAAAACCGACCCGAATCAACCCGGATATTTACGGGTTGGGTAGGGTTGGGTCCACGGGTTGTGTATATAATAATTATTATTTTCAATTTAAAAAATCTATAACACAATTCAATATAATTTTGCATATTTCAAACAATTAAATTATTTACGTAGTGGAGACAAATCCTACATATAAAATAGAATAATTAAAAATATAACAATTAAAATTTTGAAATGTATTTTCTTTGTCATAAAAAATATTAAGATACATATACACCATTAATTATTTATATATTTTCATTAATATACCTTAATTTATAAAAATTTATTAGTTATTTTGATACTCAAATGTTATCAATTACAAATATATATCAACATATGTAAAACAAATATATAATAATATACAGTATATATTAGTTGTTTTGATACTCAAATGTTACCTTTTCTAGCACATGCTTAAAAGTAGGTCCGTAAACTATCATATATATTAACACTTAATAATATATAAAATTCCATAAAATATCATTTCCATAAAATTCATAAATTCTAAATAATTCAAAAGCAAATAAACATCACTTAGTCTTAAAATGACATAGAAGCAAGCATGATTAATATTAATAATAATATTTAATTATAATAATAATAATAATTTAATGTGTGATTGGAAACTGGAAGGAAAGTGCAAAAGATCTTTGTGTACATTACAATTTACAAAGTTATAGCAACTTTAAAATTTATAAATAATAATATAATAATAATAATAATTAATTATGCCACGTCAACGGGTTCATGGGTTTAGAAACTAAAACCCAATACCCGAACCAAATCTATACGGGTTGTTACGGGTTGAGTCGGGTATACCCGTAAATGAATGGGTCCGGGTAATTAGTGGGTTGGTTCAGTTTGGGTAGACGGGTTTGTGGGTCGACCCGCATCCATGAACACCCCTAGTGAAAGGTACGCAATTAATTCATATAATATTTTAAAATAAAAAAAAAATTATGATTTTTTGTGATTAGTTTGTGGATGTATTTTTTGTAGAAATAAATATTCGTATTTGTTTATTCATAATCATATTGAAAGGTACATATTTAATGTGTGATATTAGATCACTCTTTCATGCAAATAGTTTTTGTTGGTTATTAGTTATTTTCTATGCAAGTTGATTGATATTAAATATAAAATTTAATTGACATACACTAACAGTGTAAAGATTTTTTACACCATCAGTTAATCAGAACCGTTGATTTATTTAAAATGTTTGACTTCTATTTTAACCACCTGAAAAGTAATATCAACGGATGATGGTGATGTATTGACAATGTAAAACTTTTTACACTGACAGAACATAACAATTAATCTCTTAAGTATATTGAGATGTTATTAATATGTTTAATGCATTAAAAAAAATTAATAAAGACAAGTGGATGATAAATGGATCATAGATTGAGAAATCTATTTATATATACCATTAAAATAAATTAATCGTTTGACTTTAATTGTTATTTTGACATTTGTTTGTGTCTCTTTCTATAAAAAAAAATTATTTATATTAACTTATAATTAATACTTAAAATGTCATAAGACGACTAATGCATTTAGTTGTAGATAAAATAATTTTAAGAAAAAATATTATGAATGAGAATTTATAGCTAAACCTGGTCATCTGCACGTTACCCACGTTCATATAGGCAGAGTGAGTAAAAACATTCATAATAATCAATATAGGAATCAATATATAAAATATCGTCATTTTCATATTCAACATCATCATAATCATCAAGAAAACATCAAAAAGTCATAATATCATAAATTACACCAAATTGTCACATAAATGCAAATGCAACAAGACTCATGCATGTGGTACCAATTCATCAAAGTTCGATGGATACTGTGCCATCAATCCTCCATAGATTCTCATCAATAGGATCGATTCTACACAAGAACCGGAGCACAACAAAATATTAGAATATTAATAGTAATTCATATTTATTTAGTTGTACTATTTTCTTAGCCCCTAAGTTTGTTAGAGGGTATTTTAGTATTTTATCTTATTCTAGTAACTCTAGTTTTAGCTTATAAATAGGGTGACAATCATTGTAACTTTATCATGCTTTTGTAGCCGTTATTCTTAATAGAATATTTCCTTTGTTCATCATTTATTCACCTTTGCACCAACAATTGGTATCTAGAGCTCCGGTTCAGATTCATTGGGAAACACGGGAAACACGAGTGAACGTGAGGTCTTGTGTGTTTGATTTTGATTCTTAGATTCGTGTTGAATCTTGAACAAAATCTGATCAGAATTTTAATTCTGTGGGTTGGGAAACACTGTGTGAGAAATCTGAGTGTATTGTGCAAGGTGAAGATGAACGGAAACAGCAACATGAACACCAAGCTTCCAGTATTTGACGGTAAAAACTGGAATCGTTGGATGATCCAAATGCGTGTACTGTTTGGTGCCCAAGATGTTTTAGATCTTGTCACTGATGGTTATGTCCCGGTAGCAGCAGATGCAACAGATGAACAGAAAAACGCGCAGAAGGAAGTAAGGAAGAAGGATCAGAAAGCATTATTCTTTATTCATCAATGTGTTGATGTAAATGTGTTTGAGAAGATTGCAGATTCAACGACAGCAAAGGCTGCGTGGGACACACTGGTTAGATGTTATGGTGGTGACGCATCAGTGAAGAAGGTGAAACTTCAGTCCTTGAGAAAGCAATATGAGAATCTCAACATGAAGAATAATGAGAAAATTTCTAAATACATCTCCAGAGTGATTCTGATCACTAATGAGATGAAGGCGTGTGGAGAAACTCTTTCTGAAGAAACAATCATGGAGAAGGTATTGAGATCCCTTACTCCTCAATTTGATTACATTGTGGTAGCAATAGAACCTTCCAAAGATCTGAGCACCATGAGAATTGAAGAGCTGCAGAGCAGTCTAGAAGCGCAAGAGTTGCGTTTCACTGAGAGAACTTCTGAAAAGGAAGTAGAGCAGCAGGCTCTGAAAGCAACTTCTGATAGGAGGTATCAGAAGCAGTCAGAAGCCAAGAGAAGATCTGATGGTGGTCAGAAGTCAGAAAGCTCAATCTATGATAGGCAAAAGAATGCTCAGAAGGGAAAAGAGAAGTATGACAAGAAGAAGATCCAATGTTATTGTTGTAAGAAGTTTGGTCACTTTGC